TAACTGTGATACTCAGATATGTTCTCATTGATGGTGAAATTAAAGAACGATTTTTAACTTTTGTTGACATCTATGCTCATAACGCTCAAAATCTGGAGCAAGTGATACTAGACGTTTTGAAGAAATGGGGGTTAGATATCACAAAATGCAGGGGACAGAGTTACGACAATGCTTCTAACATGTCTGGCAGATACTCTGGCTTGCAGGCGCGAATCAAGGCACACAGTCCCAATGCAGTTTACATTCCCTGCTCTAGCCATAGCTTAAATCTAGTTGGTAATTCGGCTGCAGAATCGTCGCTTTCAGCAGTATCATACTTTGACTTTATTCAAAACGTTTATGTGTTGTTCTCATCATCCACACACAGGTGGAACATACTTAAAAGTCATCTAGTCAAAAGTGGATGCACCATAAAGAAAGTATCGGACACAAGGTGATCAGCTAGAGCGGATGCAGTGTTTGCATTGCATCAGAACAACATTGGTATTCAGGAAGCTCTTCTTCAAGCAGCCGAAGATCGTGATCAGAAGGCGTTTGTAAGAAATGAGGCTAATGCTCTTGCTAATAAAATGGATCTTTTTGAGACTGCATTGATGACTGTTCTTTGGGATACAATTTTACAGCGGATGAATGCAACCAGCAAATCTCTGCAAAATTCAAATTTATATCTTGATTCTGGTTTAAATCATCTAGAATCACTGAAGCTTTTTATTAACAATGAAGTCCGAAACGATTTCACTCGTATTGAAAATCTAGCAGCATTACTTATTAACGAGGATCTGAAAGACTGTAAATATCAAGATGAAGTGAGCCGCAAGAAAAAGCGAAAACCGTTTTCTGGTGAAAGCAATGAAGCGGAAGTTATTTTAACTGGTTGTGATAATTTTATTGTTAACACAGTAAACGCCATTTCTGATAAATTGATCACGGAACTTGATCACAGAATCGAAGCATACAAAGGTATACATGATTTGTTCAGTCTATTTTTCAAGGACAAGGTAGATGACATGAACACAAAGATCTGATGCCGCTGGCGATGAAATCAAACAGTTTTTGCATTTCGCTAAGGAAGAAGGCGCAAAATCTGCGGTAGAGATATACCAGCTTATAGTGGTGGGTGGACTACAATGTACATTTCCCAATGTGGAAACCCTTCTAAGAATCTTTCTCACCATTCCTATATCAAACGCAACTGGAGAACGGTCATTTTCTGTGTTGAAAAGGGTCAAGAATTACTTGCGGAATTCCATCAGCTAATGTAAGCTGGGAGATTTGTCTATTTTATGCATTGAATCAAAGGAGACATTAGAATACGATTTTAATGCGCACATTGACTCCTTCGCGAAATTGAAGAGCAGGAAAAAAGTTATATAACTGTAATAAACTGACAATTGTAATTTCTAACTAGTATCTATAGCTGTAGTATCTATGCATGTTAAATAATACATGGGTATGAATGTTCTAACTATTGCTGTATTATGATCATTGATCGTCTTATAGGCGAGAGGGCCCCAAATTGGTCGTGCGCCTAGGGCCACAGTTTTTGTAAATACGCCTCTGGCTGGGATGAAATGTTGTGGTCTGTCGTCTCAAATTTGAAGATGATTTCTGTTCTCCCATGCAATCAGGAAATGGTTGAATATTTAACCGCCATAGATGAGATGAGCCTATTTTGTTAGACCCAAACTTGTTTTATTCTTTAATTTCTTGAGGTCAAATTGTTATATTTTTCTTCAACAATAATTTGAACATTTCTTAAGTATATGGAATTATTTGGAAGTAAAAATTACAAGCCATGCAAACAAGTTGAGAATGTTGGTTGGTTAATTGATTGGTTGGTTGTTTGTTTGATTGATTGATTGATTGATTGATTGATTGATTGATTGATTGATTGATTGATTGATTGATTGTTTGATCGATCGATCGATCGATCGATTGATTGATTGATTGATTGATTGATTGATTGATTGATTGATTGATTGATTGATTGATTGATTGATTGATTGATTGATTGATTGATACGGCGTAGAATAATGTACTGACTGTGTAAATAAATAATGTTAAAGACGATTCATTTTTTGGAGTTTACTTGCATTTTTTCAGCCATTTCTCAGCTGCATATAATTGAATCAAAAGATGTCGCCTGCTTCATTGTATCCTCATATTTTCAAGGCATCTGTTTTCAAAAAAGTACACGCGATGAAATAATTAAAATTAGCTGGCAATAAAAATAATAGGATGAATTTTTCGGTAAATAACGGTAAATACCATTGTTGAATAGTTTTATATAAATGAAATGATCTTCCTTACAACATTTCCAACCTATTTTATGTATGTGTTGCGCAGAGAGGGCAGGCACGCTTTTTAAGAAGGGTCATGTTCAAGTGTTCCTACTACATCAAAAACTTATTCCTACTACATCAAAAACTTAAACTAGATTTTCTGAACAGAATTCCAAAATCAAGTGAAACATAAACGAAATATTGAATATTGATTATATGACTATTGATATTGACCATATATTATATAACAAGTGGTTATGGCTCTCATAAGAAAGTACATCTGTTAAATAAAATTGAGTTGAAATAAAATACTGATCAGTAAGAACATTCTTGAAAATTTAACGTGATAAACAGTAGAAATAAATCGATGATTTTTGGCATAAGGACGCCATGATATATAAGTTTCAGCTAAGGGGCAAATGAGGGGTTTGTCCACACCACAGAGAATAGTCTTTACGCTACTGGGTTCAGTGGTGTAACTTGAAGGATGGTGGGGGCACTTTCAAGAGGATGGCTGGCTGGCATTTTTTTCAAAACAGTCTGACGTCGAGATTTTATATCTAATGCACTTTTTACAATTTTGAAAAATTTGTAGCTGTGGGAAAAATTTATTCAAAATTTTTATCTACTTTGCTTATTTCATTAACAGAATTGACGGTCTTGAAACATCAAAGCATTAATAATAATAATAAAATAAATAATAATAACAATAATAATAATAAT